TGCATCCTCCATCCTTCCCCATCAGCATCTAAGGGTGCATCCTCCATCCTTCCCCATCAGCATCTAAGGGTGCATCCTCTAGCCTTCCCCATCAGCATCTCAGGGATGTATCTGTTATGGAATATGCCTTTACACTGTGTGAAGAAATGTCACTGTGATTGGTTTAATAAAAAAGGGAGATGGCCTACAGCTAGGCAGGATTTTCAAGGCAGAAAGAATGCTGGGAAGAAGAAGGGCAGAGATGCCAGGAGTTGCCAGCCAAAAACAGAGGAAGCAGGCTGGGCAATACAGAGTAAAGGCAACCAAGCCACATAAAAGAATATAGATTAAAGATATGGGTTAATGTAAGTTATAAGAACTAGTTAGGAGCAAGCCTAAGCTATTGGCTAAGCTTTCACATTATTAATGAGTCTCTGTGTCATTTTTTGTGAGTTGGTGGCCCAAAAAGAAAAGTCTGTCTACATGCACCCTCTAATCTTCTCCATCATCAGCACCTCAGAGCCGCATCCTCCAACCAGCAGGTGTGCGTCAGTCACACATTGCCTTTGCCTGACGAGTGCTCACTCACCTTGGCTCCACCTTCTCCTCTCATCCCTCACAATCATCCAGGGCTCTTTCCCTTGTTCCAGCAGGGTGATCACATCTGGCTTAGAGATGGAGCATCCTGCTTGGAAGAACAGAACAGAATCCATGTAAAGAATGAATCTATTTGCCAGGTGGGGTGATACATGGCTGTGACCCTAGTACTTAGGAGCAGGAAGGAGGATCAGGGGTGTAGTGTACACATGGAATGCAAGGTAAAGTACAGGAGACTTTCTGTGTGGGGTAGGGGAGCACACAGAGTTTTGTTATTATTATTATTATTATTATTATTATTATTATTATTATTAGGTTTTTGAGACAGGGTTTCTCTGTGTAGCCCTAGCTGTTCTGGAACTCGCTTTGTAGACCAGGCTGGCCCCAAACTCAGAGATCTACCTGCCTCTGCCTCCCGAATGCTGGGATTAAAGGCATGTGCCACCACCACCCAGCTGTTTTAGTTTTTTTAACTTTTATTTTTATGTGTTTGGGTGTTTTGCCTGCATGTATGTCCATGTCCCGTGTGCATGTAGTGCTCTCAGAGGCCATAAGAGAGTGTTGGATGACCTAGAACTGGAGTTGCAAATGGTTGTGAGATACCCTGTGGATGCTGGGAACCAAACCTATGTGTTCTGCAAAAGCAGCCAGTGTTCTTAACTTATGAGCCATCTGTCCAGGATAAAAAGAGATCCTTTAGTTAATTCTTCCAAACAAAGATGGCTATCAGGGTAGAAAAACATTAGAACTTGAATTCTTTTAATATCAAGGGTAGAGGCATGGTTTTATTTTCATCTAAACTCATACAACTCCATCCTTTTAAAACTTATTTTTTAATTTTAATTATGTATTTGAACTATGTGGGATCATAAAAGCATTTCACAGAGGTGCCCATTCTGTTACCTTGCACTGTGGGAAAATGGTCTTCGGTGAACTTACCCAGTGACACCAGATGGCTGTAGTTCTCCAACATCACATCTTTGTACAGATCCCTCTCATAGGAATTCAGGCATTCCCACTCTTCCTGAGAAAAGTTCACAGTCACATCTCTGAACATCACTTCACTCTGAAATGACAAGCCCATGTACTATGTGTAAGATAAAATGGGATAAAATGTACTGGAGGGTGTCTAAGTTACTGTTCTGTAGCTGTGAAGAAACACCATGACCAAGCCAACTCTTATAAAAGAAAGTATTTAAATGGGGGCTTCCTTGTAGTTTTAGAAGGTTAGTCTATGATCATCATGGAAGCAGACAGGCATGGCTCTAGAGCAGTAGCTGAGAGCTTTACATCCTGACACACAAGCAGCAGGCAGAGAGAGACAGACAGACAGACAGAAAAATACACACACACACACACACACACACACACACACACACACACGAGAGAGAGAGAGAGAGAGAGAGAGAGAGAGAGAGAGAGAAAGAGAGAGATATTCACTCAGACACACTCATATACAATAGAATTTAAAAATTTCAAAAATAAAATAGGTAACTGTGCCTTTCATATCGTCTTTCGCTATGTCAGTAATGGAAAGAGTTAAATTACAGGGAGTCACTGCTCACAATGTAACTGTGGGAGCAGTGATGCTGTAAGGAGGGGGTTTCTGATTTTCAGGGGTTCATATCAAATAAGCTCCGATTGGTCAGTGCACCCTGGGATGGAGATGGAGAGAAGGGTACCGAGTAGACTCCTCCCCAGTGTAACAGGAGACTGGGGGGCAGCTGTAGGGTCAGATTCTGTTAGGACGTTTCAAAATAACCAATGAGAGTTTGTACAACCGGACAGGATGAAAAGGACGGGGCAGCTGAGAGCGTCCACTGGGTAAAGGCGGTCAAGCCAGTGCCTTGAATTCCATCTTCAGGACACGCGTGGTGGAAGGAGAACTGGATCCTGCAAGTTACCCTTTTACCTCCACAGACACCTGTGGCACGCGCCCCCTCCCCCCAACAAAATGAATAAACATAAATAAATAAGTGCACGAGCTTTATCCCTGGGACCCACATGGGAAGCTGAGGATTTGGGGTCCACTCTCAGGACACACAAAGTAGGAGAGAACCAACTCCAAAAGTTGTCCTCTGAAGGTCATGTGTGTGCCATAGCATGCTTATGCCCGTATGTGCAAGCACACACACGCAGCATAAATAGATAGTGTAATCTTTTTTTAAAGACAGAATTTCAGATACAGAGAAACCAACTTACATGAGCCATGATTCTAGAATTGCAAGAACTGGCTTGTTCCTCCCTCCTCGAGGATCATGCCCTGGAGAAGCAGTTCACAGGGACTGGAGCTGGAGGGAGAGTTGCAAGATGAGATCAAAACCGCCCCAGAGCTTCCAAATTTTAAAAACCAGAGGATCTCTTCTGACATGCACCCCGGTTTTCCAACACACGAAGAGTGAGAGGTGGGAGGCAGCTTACACAGAAATACGTCCTCCTCCAAACTAGAGGAAAATCAGCTGCAAAGCATGGCAGTTGAGACTTCAGTATGCACCCGGGTCATCATGCACTGCACTAAAAGAGGAAACCTCTGATCAGGTCTCCGCTCACTGAAAATGTAGGGGAATTCTCAGACCCAGAGCAATGAGTAATTCATTCTTTTGCAGGGTCTCATTGTACCCCAGGCTGGCAACCCAATGTCAGGCAGCGGAAGATGACCTTGACCGGCTTATCCTCCTGCCTCTACCTCCCAAATCCTGAGATCACAGGCGTGTGCTATCACGTCTTCTGGCTTCACCCCCACGCTTTTCTGAACTTGGTCAGGGCCCCCTTCCCTTCCACGCTTCAGGGGACCCGGCTGACCCCACCCGCACGTACCACAGCAAGCGACAGGGAGACTGGAGACAGCCCACAGTCACCCGTGTCGGAGTTTGCTGCTTCGGACACAGCCTGTGCAGTGGAGCCCCAGGTTACCACCCCTGGGGCTGCCGGGCCTCTAGTTCCGAGGTGTCCCACGGCTCTCAGCTCCCCGAGGCCTGCCCCGCATCTGAGGTCCCCGCGTCCTGCACAGGGTGTCCCCAGGGTGCCAATCGCCCCCCTCACCCCCACCCCCGACTTCCCTCTAGGTCCTCATCTACAGCCAGACCGGGGTTTAGGTGCAGCGCGGCAACATGATAGGCTGCACCCACGGATGGCCACCCGAGTCCAGGGGACCGCTGAGCGGGCCCGGCCCTCGAGTCCCGGAGTAGACCACAGGCCGCGCGGGAGCCCGGCTCACCCAGCTGACGGACCCACCGGAGGGCGGGTCGCGAGTGCGCAGACACCGCAGCGACCGGTGACCTGGGCCTCAGCGCTGCAGCGGTGGCACAGACGTGCTACTGAGGGTGATAGTGAGGGTTCTGGGGTTCTTTCTGGTCTCAAACCAGAAAGTCCCGGGCGCCGCCTGCCTCTTTCATGCAGTTCTGGGCTCCCCGCCCTGCCGAGGCTGCGAGCCCCGCCCCCAGCTCCTGGACGGGGCGCGCGGGGGGGGGGGGGGGCGCTGTGAGGCAGTGCGCAGGCGCACAAGGGACCCGCGGAGTGAGAGAGGCATAGTGGCATCCTGCACCCGCAGTGACAGAGGGAGTTCCACGCCTGGATCCAGGGATGGGCCAAAATGGCCTAGAGTCCGGACTCTGGCGTTGAACAAACTGACACCTGATGCTTCGAGGTCCAGCGTGGAGCGCTTGATGAATAATGGACATTGGTGGTTTTTTTTTTTTTTTTTTTTTTTTTTTTTTTTTTTTTTTTTTTTAACTACAGCCCAGGCTGGCCTGAAACTCGTGATTTCTTTCATTCGGCCTCAGTTCCTCTGGTATTACAAGTAAAAGAAAGCACACTGGGTTACTGGCTAGTTTGTCTGATCGGTTTCTAACACTGTTTTGTTGTTGTTGTTTGTCTTTTTTGTTTTTTGGGGTTTGTTTTGTTTTTTTGTAGACAGGGTTTCTCTGTGTTGTTTTGGTGCCTGTCCTGGATCTCACTCTGTAGACCAGGCTGGCCTCGAACTCACAGAGATCCGCCTGGCTCTGCCTCCCAGAGTGCTGGGACTAAAGGTGTGCGTCACCACTGCCCGGCTTGTTTGTTTTTTAAACATTGTGGCATTAAATATTTCAGAGGGCTGGGAGGTGACTCAGTGTTTAAGAGCCCACTGCTCTTCCAGAGGACCCAAGTTCAGGTCCCAGCACCCAAATGGTGGCTCACAACTGTCTCTAACTCCAAACCCAGGAGAGCCAATGCCCTCCTCTGGTTTCTGTAGGGACTAGGCAATTCTCGTTGGACACATGCATACATAATAATGCAAGCAAAATACTCACACACACACACAAAACGTAAAAAACAAAACACATTTCAGCTTCATGATGTACTTTCAATATGTTCACCAAAAGTATGGAAAGCAGACAATTTATATTCATTCACTTTGTGTAGGGTGTGTGTGTGTGTGTGTGTGTGTGTGTGTGTGTGTGTGTGTGTGTGTCCATGTATGTGCCCTGGCACATATGTGCAGGTCAAACAACTTGAGAAAGTTTAAGGCAGGATTGTGAGTTGAGGTTAGCCTGGGCTGGTGAATTCCAGCCTGGGCTACATACAAAGCACGACCCAGTATGAAGGGGTCAAACAAACACAACACAGCTGTTGACAGATCACTAGCAGTGGGCCAGGTCAATGGCAGGACGCTTGCATAGCCTGCAAAAGGCTAGATGGTCCAATCCCCAACGTGAAAGAAGAAAAAAGAAATCTATGCTAGTGATGATGCAGGTTTATAATTTAAATAACTCCAGAAGCAGAGGCTGAGGCCAGAGAATTACAAGTTCAAGGTCTGTATTGGCAACTTTGTGCAACTGTCTCAAAAAATAAACAAAAACCCCACAAACCTAAAAGTGGTACAGACAATATGTAGCCAGTATTCACATTCAACTGCTGACAAGATCTGTGTATTTGCTGTTGATCTTCGCCCAGGCTGGCCTCTACCTCCACTGATCCTGCTTCAGTGTCCTAGGTAGTTAAAGGCATGTACCACTGCACCTACCGTTTTCTCTTGGGTCTAGGGAAGGTTGACACACAGGGCTTTGTGCATACCCAGCAGATCATTGCCACTGAGGTCTTCTCATCTGCTTGGTGATGACAGCTCAGTAAGCTTTAGATGACCCCCTGCCACCCCCCACCCGGCACACACGTTCTAGCTTCCCACCTTAGCTTGTGACCCTCTGGATCCACTTGATCCAGAGTGCTGGGAGTACAGGTGTGCACCACCATGTGGTTCACAAAGCGACGGGGAATCAACCCATGGTTTTGTGCATGCTAAGCAAGCAAGCGAGTTCCACCTCTGACTTTCATCTCTAGTCACTGGTGAGCTTTTCCTCTGTCTCTGGCGTTTTTGAGACAGGGTTTCACTGTGTACCCTGGCTGTCCTGGAACTCACTCTGTAATGCAGCTGCCTCTGCCTCCAAGTCCTGGGACTAAAGGCGTACACTACAACCACCAGCTGCTCTTCTTTTCTTAGGACTAGGGAAATACTGGCCGGACTCAGTTTGACTCAGTACTTTGTATGTATTATTCATAGCATGTGATGAGAATGTATAGCTGATAAAATACGCTGTTTCACAAGCTGCTTGTGAATGACAGATGTATATACAATCTGATCTTTCTTCTTATGCATAAAATAGTGGAATGGAATCTGTCTTGTGAATGTAAAAGTTTACTAAGATGCAGGGCTCTAGGAGATGGCCTTCTGTTGCTGTGATATGTCTGACAAGAAGCAACTTAGGAGAGAAAAGGATTTATTCAGCTTACAAATCCAGGTTACAGTCCATCATTATTATGGGGGATTCAAAGCAGGAACTTCAAGCATCACATCCACACAAAAACTGTGAGAATAATTGCATAGATTTTTTACTTGCTTGCTAGCTTTCTTCATTTTTAGATAGTTCAGCACCCAGCCTATGGCATGGTGCCACCCACAGTGGGCTGGGTCGTTCTACACCAATTAACCAACATGACAATCCACCAGACATATCTATTGGCCAACCTGATCTTAATAATTCCTCAGTAAGACTCTCCTCCAAGATGATTCTAAGTGTCAAGTTGACAGTTAAAACTAACCATACTTAAGACATGTAAGCACAAAACCAACTTTTAAGGCTTCTCCTCCATCCAGAGATCATGGAGATTTCTGAGGGCATGATCCCAAGGTTATTCAGTTCTGGAGTAAGAAATTCTTCATTGAAAAATTTTGTATTTCTGAAGGACATAACTTAAGGATGGTTGTAATAGCCCATTTCTGAAACCTCAGCATTCAGGAGTGAAACAGGAAGATCATTTAGTCCAAGGACAGCCTGGTTGTCTTTGTCTATTACTTTCTACCTTTCTTTTTGAGGCAGGATCTCTCCTTATATATGGAGCTTGCTGATTCAGCTAGACTCGCTGGCTAAGATCTGCCTATCTCCACTCCTCTTCTTCCTCCCTCCCCTACAATGGAGTCACAGAAGCATACTGCTTCTTGGTATTGTATGTGAGTGCTGGGGATCAAAACCCAGGTCTGCATACTTGTATGCCAAGCACTTTACTAACAATTGCCCCAAGTGCCCCAAAAAGAGGAGAATTTAAACCATAATAATGGTCAAATATTTATTATGTTCAATAACACATTTTAAGCCACTTCCCATTGGGCATGGTGGTACATGTTTGTAATTAACCTGAGGCACAAGTTCAAGGTCATCCTCTGCTACATAGAGAGCTTACCAAGTACCAAAACATCTTATTAAGCAATTTTATGTTTAGAGACAGGTTCTTACTATGTAGTCCTGGCTATCCTGGAACTCACTGTGTAGACCAGGCTGGCCTTGAACTCCGAAGATCCACTTGCCTCTGATTATAATGCAAGAAGAGATAGGAAGATCATCAGGCCATAAAAGTCAAGAAACAGATCCAAGATGGGTGAGGTGGTCTACACTGGTCATCGCAACACTCTAGAGGTAAGGAAGGAGGGCGGCCGAGGTTCCGGGTCAGACAGGACTACAATGCAAGGCCCGATTTCAAAAGGAAAGAGGGAACTGAAGAAATGGCTCAGTGCATGAGAGCATGACCTGCTCTTGCAAAGGACCCCAGTTCGGTTTCTGGTTCCTAACACCCCTGTGCACCACCGTAACTCCACCACAGGCAATCCGACGCCTCCGACCCACAGAAGTCTCCAAAGTACCAGCACTCACACGTACAGGTCACATACACAGAATTAAACTTTTTTTTTTAAAGACAGAGTCTCACTATGTAGTCCTGGCTGTCCTGGAACTCTATGTAGGCCAAGCTGTCCTCAGACTCACAGAGATCCTCCTGCCTCTGCATTCTGAGTTCTGGGATTAAAGGTGTGTGCACCATGCCCAGCTAAAATTAATTTTTAAAAAGATGAGAAGGGAGCAGAGGAGAGGAAAGGGGGAAATAAATCAGCTAGACAAGAGGTCCAACCGGATGTGGGCATGCACCTGTAATTCCAGCATATGGGAAGCTGATGGGAGGGCCAGGGGGTGAAGGCCAGCCTGAGAAGACTTATCTCAAAATAAAAACAAAATTTAAGGCAAGGGAATAAGTCCAAAAATATAGGAACACAGCTTATGAATTTGTTCTTAAAACTGATAGGACCGAGTGTTGAGACAGCTAAGTCACCATCCACGAAGAGGAACACTATGCCCTGCCTAACTCGGCACAACCAAGGCTGCACGGCCCAGTATTTACACTTTAATCATAAACCACAAGAGGAGAGCATGGGATTTGTGAAAATATACTGGAATGGAAAAAATGATTTACATGCATTAACACCCAAGCAGATACCTTCCAATCATGAATTGGTTGAGTTTACAAATCCAAATCTGACATTTAAGAAAGGCAAAACAAAACAAAACAAAAAAAACCCTAATATAGCCATAAAGTAGAGAAAAGGGTTGTAAGTCTTACACAGCCAGTAGGAAAACAATCATTCAACAGAAAATAGTATTAAGACATTCCACAGAAAATGTAGTATTTGGAAATAGGAAAATATGGCATTAACTGCAAATTACATATAGCAGAAGGTGCAAATTAAAACTGTCATAACACACTTCACTTAACAGCCTGGCAAAACAAAGCTTTAACAAACAAAAAAGTGTCAGCAAAGGTATAGGAAGGGATGCTATACAACATCCAAGAAGGAACCAAACGCTATTGGCCATTGTAAACGTACATGGACTCCAAAGTAGCAAATCCAACTCAGGGATGGGTTTAATTTATATCTGCATATAGAAGCTAATATGTACAAGATAGTCATCTCATTCTATATTTCAAAGGAGAGAAGGGACTGATTCAGTTAACTGAAGGCCAAAAAATAACACTACATAGATAAGGACTATGAATGAGGAAGCTAGTCTTTATTTTCTAATATATTCCACTTTCTATACTTAGAAGTACTAAAGGACTTATTAGTCAATAATGTATAAGATTTAGTTTCAATGTTGAGGGGAAGGAGTCTCACTATGTAGCCAAGGCTGCCCATGGCCTTACACTCCTGAGTGCTAAATGCAGGCCTTAGTAACTATGCCTCTCAATCCCCCATACCTCTGCTTCCCCCTACCCCCAGACAGAGAGGGTCTCATTATGTAGACCAGGCTGACCTGGAACTCAAGAGATCATCGGGCCTCTGCATCCTGAAGGCTAGGATTAAAAATGTGCGATACCACACTTGGCCTCAAGAATTCCTTAACAGCTAGAGAGCACCCCAGAATATGTCAATTGTTTAACAAGTTATGACCATGTTTGCCTCCTGCTGAATTGCTGTTTCTAACCTATTACTACTTCTTTCATTTTTTAAAATTCTCTAGCATCTTGAGACAATGAATTCCTCACTGACCTCAGTTTTCTGGTAACACTTCCTACTACACACTACAACCGTCACATTCCATAAATTATCCAAGGGGAAATATTTCCCCCTCAACTCCATTAAGTGTTAATTAGTGGTTATTCTGAAGTTATTTAAAAGTATATTTCCAAATATATGGAAGGACATCCCTAGGCCTATGCAAGAAGGCATTGTGTATAATTTGAACTGACTGATACTTATTCAGACTGAAGTTGAAGACACAGAAAATAATTTCTTAAATAAAAGAGTATCTTGTAAATTCGGAGTCCACATATGTCTGTTAGATCTTTCAATGATATTTGTCCAAATGTTGCTGATTTTGCTCGAGACAGGCATGTTAAAAATCCAAGCTTTCTCTTTGTAGTTTGATTAACCTTTGCTTTTTATTTATGGAGGTCATGTTATTAGTTACATACAAATAAAAATATTCAGATCCTTTTAATGAAATCAGTCTTTGAACATTGTCATTTTTTTCTTACTTTTTTGGTAAATCATTTCTGTTGTTTCTTCTTGAACTTTTCCTTGTATGATTTCTTTGGTTAATATCTCAATAGCATGGGCTTCTCTCACCATCCTTTAATCTCAATCTTTTTGTAGCATTATCTTTCTTTCTCATTTATTTACTTTCTATTTATTTTTGAGATGGAGTTGCTCTCTGTACCCCCAAGCTAATCTGAAACAGCAATCTTCTCTTCACCTCCCGAGGGATCCAATTCCAGATATGTCCCACACCAACCCAGTCCTTCAACTACAGTAATCAGCCTATTCAAACCGGTTTGGAATTACTGATACACTTACTTTATGTCTACCACTCTACCTCACAACTTCCCACGGGCTACTTCTATGCTCACTGTCTTTGTTTGCTGTCTTATTTTAATTACTGGTTGTTTCTATAGCTACCTTCTCTAATGATTCTAGCATACGACAGGGTCTCATGTGGCCCAGTTTGGTCTTGAACAGTCCTAGTTTTCCAACATCCACCTTCCCAGTGCTGGGATTACACAGTCATACAAAAACAGGTAACTTTTTTCTCATTAAAAAGGTTACTTAACCTTATAAAAAGGATGGGCTGGCGAAGACATTATGTTGACAATCTGTTTCAAATTTCCTTGCTATCTGGTAGGCCAGCACCTGGGAAGTTACAGCAGGACTACGAGACTGAGGCTAGCCTAGGCCACATGAGGCCCTATCCCCCAAAAAACTTTACTTCCCTCTTGAACACTACCACATGCTTCATTTAAGGTAACACAACACATTTTTCTATTCCTTAAGAGTATACTGGCTTTATTCTAGAGGTTTGTGAATCAATCAGAAAAATTTATATATATTCACACAAAATTTACTCTAAACATTTCAAATTTAACTCATATAACACTGAACAAATTATTTTATAGCAATAAGATTTTCTAGCTGTACGCATTGGCAGGTCTGTAATCCCAGCTATCTGAGAGGCTAATATATGGGGACCATGAGTTCAAGGCCTGCCTAGGCAATTTAGCAAGACCATGTCTCAGGGAAAAAGTGGCAGAACACGTGCTTGGCAGGCTTACAGCTCTGAACTCAAGCCAGTGTGGCAGCACAGACTTCTAATCCAGCACTCAATGGATGGAGCAGGACTGCCACCAGGTTAAGAGAGACCCTGTCTCAAAACAAAACCCACCCAAACCAACTGAATATATTTCTGCTTGAAAATGTTCTACCTCCTTCCCGTTAGCACTGATTGCTGTATCTTCAAATGTCCTTCAAATGTCTCCTTAGGACCTGGAAAATCTAGTCTATGTTTCAGATGCTTTGGGAAAAGCTTTCAAAGTTGTTATCCATTTTATTGCTTCTTAAAAACTTATTTAAATTCATTGATCAATTATTGTATATAATATGTATTTCTGCTGTCAACTCTAGGATTTGTTCTTTTTTCCAATTGAATATTTGATAGCATTTAGGCAAATGAATCTCATCAGGTTTTAGTATATAGAGCTGCTTATCTTTCACACTGAAGCAAACTGCTGCATTTTTCATGTAAGCCGAGTCATATAGTGATAGTTAGAGATTACAAATTGTTCTAATTCACATCCTGTGTAAATATGACTATCCTGAGTAAGAAAACATACACTGTTTCTGCTGTGGAGGACACTCTGATCTCACCTTTACTGAGTTCATGCCGTCTCGCCAGAGTCAACTGTCTGGTTCAACTGAAGCTGAAGTGATTATCTGCTCATGTTCCAATCATTTTCATTCCAGAACTCGTTATGAAAGCTTTGATATGGATCAAGCTGACAGGAGATGTCTTTAATAAAATGCAGATGAGCATTCCAAAAATAATAACGAAGACTATCATAAATATGATTCCTAATATTTCCTAATCATTCCTCCTTGCTAGTGACTATGCCAAAGGTCCCTTTTACTAAGTTCACTCAATCCTCACAATAACCTCACTTACTACTGGCTAAAAAGGCAGCAGTCTGAAGCAGAGCTGAAGTTAACTGATAATAAAATACAGGTAAATACTGGCAAATGATGCATGGGATAGCTTCTACACTGAGAATGTCCACACTGTTCTCTATGTGGCAATTTCTATAGTTACAACTAAATGTAACCCTTTTACTGGTAATTAGTATTTCTATTCATAATTTAATTTTTATTTTTCCTATGTAAATTAATATTGAATAAACTAGATTATAAAGAAAAAAAAGGGACAACCATCAGATGGTCTTCTCTTACAAACTCTTATTCTGTAATAGCTGAAAAAAGCGAGGGCTTCCTGTTCTAATCATCACAGTATAAATTACACAACTTTAAGTACGATGTGAGGGGTTCCACACACCTCACTTCCAGGCTTTTCTCAGCAGGGTCTGGGTAGCTGAGGGACACATAAAGGTGTTTCCCATATTTCTTATCTTATCAACACTTTTCTTCCATATGTATGTGAAGATGTTGAATAAGGACTGTTCAATAAATAAAGGACAGTATTCAAATACACAAGATTTCTCCCATTGTGTGTATTCTCTGGTGCTTCTTCACCTGTAAGAGCCAAGTAAAGGCCTGTCTGCATTCCTTACATTCATAGGGCTTCTCACTGGTATGGATTCTTTGATGTTGGGTTAGATGGGACCTCTACCTAAAGGCCTTGCTGCACTGCTGGCATTGAAAGGGTTTCTCACCAGTGTGGATCCTCTGGTGTAGAATTAGAGTTTTACAATCAATAAAAGCCTTCCCACATTCTTTACATTCATAAGGCCTCTCCCCAGTGTGAATTCTCTGATGTCTATTAAAGTATGAAGGACAAGCGAAGGCCTTGCCACACTCCTTACATTCGTACGGTTTCTCACCAGTGTGAACTCGCTGGTGCTGGATGAGATGTGCTTTCTGCCTAAAGGCCTTCATACATTCCTGGCACTCATAGGGCTTCTCATTAGTGTGAGTTCTATAGTGTTTCATGAATGCTGAGTGACAGAGAAAGGCCTTCTCACAATAGTTACACTCGTAAGGTTTTTCACCAGTGTGAATTTTCTGGTGATCATTCAAGTTGGAAGCCCAAGTAAAAGTCTTTCCACATAAGTTACACTCGTAGGGTTTCTCACCACTGTGGATTCTTTGATGTCTGGTGAGATTTGCACTCTTGTTAAAGGCCTTCTGACATTTGTGACACTCGTAAGGCTTCTCATTGGTGTGCGTTCTCTGATGTTGAAAAAACGTCGAGAAGTAGAGGAAGGCCTTCCCACAATGTTTGCATTCATAGGGCTTCTCGTCCGTGTGGACTCTCTGGTGCTGGACGAGCAGGGAGCAGTTAGTGAAGGCTTTCCCACATTCTTTGCACTCACAGGGCTTTTCACCAGTGTGAAAGCGATTATGCTGAACGAGGTAAGCATGCTTTTCAAAGATCTTGCCACAGATCTCACACTGATAGGGCTTCTTATTGATCTGATATGGGGCAAGTTGGAAGTCATACGCAAATCCTCTGCTACACTCCTTCAATTCATCACATTTCTCGCCAGCAAAATCCTGCTGATGCTTCATCTGATCTGTGTAATAGATAAAGGTGTTCTCGTACACTTCATTGTCATTGGTAGGAATTTTTACCTGCTGAGTAATAGTTTCACCTGCTTCCTGTTCATTGTGTTTTGTTTCAGAGTGAGTCATTTCACTTAGAGCAATGGGTGTAGGCTGAATGAATTCAGTTGACATCTTTTCCAACGGGGCTGTCACTCTCTGTAAATATTCCTCTGTAGATTCCGGTTGTGTCTCAAGTTTCCAATCATTTCCAAAACAGGATTCCTCAAGGCAAGAATTACCAACTCTTTCTATTATTTTCCATTTAAATGATTCCTTTCTAAAGATGCCACTCTCTAGAGATAAATTCTTAGTTTCATTTACAGACAGCAAATCTGAAAGGAAATAAGTACATAGTTAGTACTAGAAGACACGAAACATCTATGTTAGAAATGGGTGGCTGATGGCACATTACTTTAATCCTAGCACTGGGGAGGCAGAGGCAGGAGGATCTCTGTGAGTTTAAGGCCAGCCTGGTCTACAAAGAACATTCTAGGACAGCCAGGACTGTTACACAGAGAAAAACTCTGTCTCGAAAAACAAAAAAAACAAAAAAAAAAAAAAGATTTTTAAAGTAAGATATATATATAAAAACATTGTTTTGCCTACATGTGTATCTGTGCACCACATGTGATCACCCTGCCTACAGAGGCCAGAAGGCAGCTTCAGGTCCCCAGGATTTGGGAGTTACAGAGTTGTGAGCTGCCATAGGGGTGGTGGGAATTGAACCGGATCCTCTGAAAGAGAAGCCAGTATTCTTAGTTGCTCAGCCATCTCTCCAGGCCCAAAATGAGATCTTAAAATATGTGCTGCAAAGCAAGAGAACTGGACTTCAGATCCTCAGAGCTCACACAGCCACCAAGAAGGCATGGAGGTTTGCTTTTTATTCCAGTCTCAAACGGCAGAGAGACAGGGAAGCTGTCTCCCAGGGCAAGTTGGCTAGGAAGACTAGGGTTTGATTGAGAGAGGCTGCCTCAAAAAGGAAGACTAAAAGAAAAGCAGAGTCATCAACAAAGAGCGACAACATTAACCTCTGGCCTGCGCGTGCGCACGCACACACACACACACACACACACACACACACACACACACACACACTACATATACACGAAGAGGAAAAAAAAGAAGCAAATGGGGCAGATAAGATGAATAAGTGAATAAAGGTGCTTGCTGTGAAAACCTGACAATCTGAGTTCAGTCCCAGATCCCACAGCTGAAGAGCAGAACACACTCTTAAAGCTGTCCTCTGAGCCTAAAGTGTACACAACACTGTTAAGTCTCAAGCCCTGGAACAAATGACAGAGGGGAGCATTTAACCTATCAAAGTGGACCTGGCAACTGCTAGGGAGAGGGGAAGAAGTTCCAGGAAGGGCTGAGAGGAGCCCTGAGGGAGCAGGGGGTGAGTGTCTGGTAACAGGAATTTCAATCAAATTCCAAATGGAGCATCCCAGGTAGACAGACTTGTCAGAGAGAGATGTCCCAAACCACAGACAGGCGTCCCTTCCACGAGACGGGGGCCCGGTAGGGCGAGAGGAGCTTCCTGACACACCGGTGCAGTAAAGCAGACAGAGCAGGCAGCTCTGTGGTGACACTCACCCAGTAGAAGGGGGAGACGAGTGGTTAGCGCAGGGAGAGGGGGAAACAGCTGGAGAGGGGCAAGTGTCTGAGTAATAGGACTGCCCACGTGGTGGGGCCCCGAAAGGCGTAGCAGGGAGAGAAGACACTTACCGAGTAGACAAGGAGACAAGGAGAGACAAATGGTCAGGTAAGGTGGAGGGGAAAGCGGCCCAAGAGGCGGACTCTGGACTCAAGTTTGGTAGGTGGCAGAAGCCAGCAGAAACAAATGATCAGTACATACCCCAGGAGAGTCAGATCCTGGAGAACCAGAACCAGCTGGGTTCAGAGAGGCTGAGTGCCCTGAAAGGGAGCTCATTTAGGCAACTCTTGGGTTTCGGCACCAGATGAATGAAAAAAAGAAATAAAAAGGAAAGGAAAGGCAAGGACGTGACTACTCCTAGGTGTGGTGGAAGAGAAGTGTATTACAGGTATGTGGGAGAGCACAGCCAGAGGCAGAGACATCTGGGAGAGTCCAGAGTGGACGTGACCAGACTGAGCTGGACCATGTGGGGAGAGGGGGAGAGGAAGAGAGAGGAGAGAGGAGACCCAGGTGCAGCAGCCAGGAGGGCAGAGTACCAAAGGGGGAGGGGAACCAACATGTCTGGACTATATGGGCAGGAGAGTTCAGGGTAGAGGGCAGGGCATGCCAGCCATACCCTGTAACAGGTAGACACTGAGGGATGCTGGGAGAACCTGGAGGCCAGGTCCACTTTGATATGTTAAATAGGCGCCTTAGCCTTTTGTCCCAAGGTTTGAGACTTAACACCCTCAAATAAAACAAAATAATAAGAATTTTAAAAATTAAATGGCATAGGTAACCTTGGAATGGTTACATTAATACCAGGTAAAATAGACTTTGTGATAATCTACACTGTCAAAGATAATTTTATCACAATGATAAACGGTCATATTCATCTGTTTGGCAATCACAATTGTGTAATTTTGTAATAACAAAGCCTCAAAACTCCTAAGGGAAGACAGAACCAAGAAAGAAATGATAATCGTACAACACAACTGCAGATGTTACAACCACGTCCAATACCTCACAGAGCCAGACCCTCCAAACAGTCAATGGAGACAACGAAACTATAAATAGTACTGTGCACCAGAGCACCGCTGCCTAAGGTCTATAAAGCTGAGTGGGGCCGGTGGGATGATGGCACACGCAGCAGGCTAAGGGGATGCCGCCAAGCCTGAAGACCCGGGGTGACCACATGGTGCAAGGAGAGAACTCACTCCCACTGACTGTGCACACACACAGATGCTCTAAATAAAAGTCCACAGAGAAGAGAAAGGAAAGAAAAAGAAAGAGCAAGCTGCTGATACTCTTCCTTCTCACACTATTTCTTCCAAAACACTGCTCTCACAGCAGAACTTTCTGTACACTGGACCAGAGGACGGTCACCTCCACTCTATGACTAGTCTGGGCTTCCCCCAAAGCACTCCAGCTGCGCTAACATCCTTACACACCTGGATACCATCCTGCTTGCTCCACCATCCACGGCTCTTTGCCTTGCTCCAGCAGTGAAATTACTGACGGCTTAGAAATGGCAAGTCCTACCCAAAGAAAGAGAATGTTAAAAACAAATACAGAAACAAGCAGTTGAGAAGCAAAAACATTTGCTATAGAATCAGTTAAACCTAAAACAAACTTCAGATCTTCAGGATGATAGTGATTTAAAATAAATACATAAGCTGCTGTATTTAGGAAGCACTTGACTAAATAATTGTTGCTTGCAGAAATCACTGATGAAAATTAAAATCAGCAGGGAAGTGTGTTCACGGTGTATCAAAGGACTGTTTGTAAATGTGCACAGTGTAAAAAGGAAGCTGTTTACCAACTGTGAGCGGCGGCTTGGGGAAGGAGAAAAGGTTCCACAGTTAAGCCTGCGTGTGGTAGACTTCACTCTCCCACAGATGGTCTTCCCTACCCCTTTCCCTCAGGGAAAGCACCTTCTGAATTTTAAGAAACAGACGGCCTTACCCAGTGACACAAAGTTCCCATAGGTCTCCAACATCACATCTCTGTACAAAGATCTCTGGCGAGGGTCCAGGCACTCCCACTCCTCTCTACAGAACTCCACAGCCACATCCCTGAACACCACCAACTCCTGCAAGGACAACACGCAGGTGAGAGCAAAGAAAATCATTTCAGGCAAATGTCAAGACTCCTTTTTCATGGTTTTCCAGGGCAAGGCATGTCCCCTCCCAAGACTAGTATGCCTGAGTGAGGCCTTGGGCTGTGCCAGCTTGACCTCTAGGAGGCTGGAAAGTCAACAAAGATGAACTGTAGCCACATCGGGTGTTTCCAGCAAAACCCTCAGATGAAAATGTATTTGCCAAGTGTCACTTGTTGGCCACACTTGCTACATGTTGTCTCATATGGTGGCTGGGAGAATTAAGCATATCTCTGGACTTCTACCAGGATGACACAAATGTAGAGTCTAGAATTTGCCTTTGGCAAATTTCTCTTTCCTATTCTGCATTCTTTTGGAGTAAATTCACAAGAATAAGGATAACTGCTTCTTAGTCCTGCAAATTGAACCAAAGAATCACTCCAGTCTACCCAGACAAGCAGCTCACTCCCATAATCCCAGCACGGGGAAGGATGGCTAGAAATTCAGGACTAGCCTGAGGTCTTAGTTAGGGTTAATATTACTGTGAGGAAACATCACAACCAAAAGCAACCTGAGGAGGAAGGTATGCATTCCCCTTGTGCTTCCCGGCAACTGTACATCACTGAGAGAAGTCAGGAAAGGAACTTAAACAGGACGGGAACCCAGAGGCAGAAGCAGATGCAAAGGTCATGGAGGGGTGCTGCTCACTGGCTTGCTCCCCATGGCTTGCTCAGATGACTCCAGCTTGTGACAAACTAACATAAACACTAACCAGGACATCTAGGCTACACAAGCTGCAGAGCAGCCTGGGCTACAGAATGACACCCAATCCCAAGTAGGAAAACACAAGAAACCCAAAGCCCCAGATGAGGTATCTTAATTGAGGTTAAAGGAGAATGCACGGGAAATCCGGCTGTACACTGGGGCCCGCAGAGGCTCAGAGGCAGAGAAGGTAACTGTTTCAGTAGAACCAGCTGCCCAGAAGGATGAAGCCATTTGTTACTGAGGCCACCTGTTTTGGGAACATGACACACTCAAGTGGAAGCCTGAAAACTATTCTGTGGGTGTCTTGGTTATGATTAAAATAGTAATAGGGACACATCAGATAGCAATGGGCATCCTCCCGGGACAAGAGACACCGACGACATTTAGAAGTAAAACAGCACTGCACCCACAGGAGAACCGAACGCAGGGTGAATGGCTGGCTCCCTTCTTCCTTCTGTGTCTGTCCCTCTACTCAGGGTCGCTAGCATAGCTCCGCAAGCAGGCATGCCGATCACACTCTGCAAGCAGGCATGCCGATCACAGCTCCGCAAGCAGGCA